AATACGTGCGCAAGACGTTCTACACCCCGGATCCCGTTGTCGGTTACACGGACTACCCATTCCTTGGCCAGCCTCAGGCACGCATGTGATTAGTGGGTTGCTAATTATGAGAGGCGGACTATTGTTTGTGTATTGTGACTTGAGAAAATAAGCAAACATACGGTAATACCGCGATTGTTATGTACTCCTACTGTAGATGTGTTACCAATATCCAGGCCACAGATTTTTCCCGATAGCTCAAGGACAAAATGGTGTCCTTAATGGGGGAATGGTGTTCTTATTCAAGTTTCTTCCGGACTATTTGCACTCCTGAAAATGCATACTTAGGGCTAGGACATGGATGAGTGATAAACATACTTAGGGCTAGGGCATGTTTGATCTCTGTCACAGTTTTTTGAAAACTGTAGCATATTTTATAAGCCAAAACAAAAAAGAGTCGGTGTTTTTGCCCCTACTTCTAAGTCCAATGATGATTTTATCTTTACTTTTTAATTTTATGATTTTATCCTTGTAATTTCGAAACGAAGCAGCCACACACACACGCACAAACAAAAAAGCACAAACACAAAAAGACAACAATGCCCTCAGAAGCTTTCTAAGGCTCGCGTCCTCTCCCCCGTTCACTCGACCACGGGCGGCGCAGATCTCTCCAGTCGCGTCCTCTCTCTCCGGCGGCCTCGAGCGGTGCTTCTCCCGGCGGCTAGTCCCCGGCGACGTCGCCCTCCCCTCCTCCCTGCCCCCTCCCCTCGCCGCCCCGACGGCTGGGGCGCGGCAGCCGGCGGCTGAGCCCTCCCTAGGCGCCGCGGCGGGAGGCGGTGGGCGCGCTCGGGAGCAGCCCCCCGGCGGACGCGCGTGGGAGGCGGCCCTCCCGGCAGTAGCGCACGGGATGCGACACCCGGGCGGCCCCGTCGGCGGGCGTGCAAGGTGGCTCGCGGGCGGCCCCCGTCGGGCGCGAAGGGAGGCGTGCGGGCGGCCCTCGTCGCCCCGTGCAGGGAGGCGCGTGGGAGGCGGCGCGGCCAGGCCCCGGCTTGTGCGCGGCCTGCCCACGGCGGCGCGCGGCCGGCACACGGCCAGCCCCCAGCGGCGCCGGCGTGCGGGTCGATGTTCGGCCAGCTCCTGACGTGAGCGCGACCTGCCCCCGGCAGCGCGCGAATCGGGCAGCCGCAGGATTGCATCGGGCGGCGACGGCGCAGGCACACATCAACATCGTGCGCGGCGGCAACAGCAGCGGCGCGAATGGGCAATTGGGCGGCGAACTGTGACATGTTCGGCTGTGCTCGTGATTGGATTCTGTTACTTTGTGAATGCACTTGTATGATTAATTTGTGGTTATATAGATTTTTAGTTAAAAAATGTTGTTGATTTTTTTTTTTTAAAAATGTCAAGTTTTGCGGTGGTCTAAAAATAGGAGTAAAAACAGCAAAATAAAATAGGGACAAAATCACATGGACAAACTTGTCATTTTCTCCAAAAGTTAACACTGTTAGAAAGACTTCACAGAATAGGGATAAACTCTCTCTTCGTTTTAAAATCGAGGGGTAAATTCACAATTTTTTAAAAAATAAAAATCACCATTTCACTTCAAAATTGGGGTAGAAACGCTTAAGCCCTAAACAAAAAAGATGTTATAAGTGGAGTTTTTAAAACTCTAAAAGACCATAATTTTGATAAAACCATGGTTCTAGATACTACATGATTTGTTGTATCTTTTGAAAATCAAAGTATTTTGTAAAACATATTTCTCCAATACTTCAAAAAAATTTTGCATCTAAACATAGCCTTAGATTATTTTGTTTTATGTAGATATATAGTTTTAATATGCACTTAGATATACAATATATCTCGATACATAGTAAAAACAGTGTATCTAGAAAAGTTAAAATATCTTATAATTTAGAACCGAGAGTACTAACTAACTGCACAAAAAGATCAACTGATATGTAGGTCTGTATCTACTCCGGAGCGCTTTGACGGCCTCGCTTGGGTGCCCGTGCTCACTGTGCCCAGCCTCTACAGCATTGTCAATCCAAGGTGATTACCCCTCCTGTCCCTCCCTCCCTCTCTCTCTCTGTTTGCATGTGATGCCAGCAGTAGCAGATGTCATGAATTACTCTCCTTTATTGTGAAACATAGTACTCTGTCTCGTAGAATATTTATAAGCACAATTCTGTAGCCGCAAGCCTTTGAAGACAACAGAGGAGCATATAAATTTGTATTTAGCTTCTTGACAGTGTGCTTTGTTATATTACATAGATTTCACATCTAAATGTTGCTCTATCTATTTGAGTGATTAATTTGAATATCGGTTGTTCAGTTGTTTATAGGCTTTATCATAGCATATGACCCTGAGAATTTCAGCATTGTTGATTCAGAAAGTTCAGAGAAAGCTTTTAGCCTAAAAATTTCAACTTTGTCACAACATATGCTCATGATGGTTCTTTCAACCTGACAAGCTCTGATATGTTCTTTTGTTTTGTAAAATATCTTGTCATTTTATTAACACATGGATGGGCTGTTCTATTTTAGCTGATTTCTTTGATCTAGTCATTAGTAACGAGTTCTTCAGAATACCTGTAGCATGGGAACATTTAGCATAATATACCTTCTGTTCTTACTAGTTGCTTGCCATTTCTGAAATTTAAAGTTAGTAGCATTTGATTGGTTGCTATGGAAGTTGTGCTCGTCGGAGGGCCGTCGTTGATGAGCAGAAGGCTCTGCCAGTTACCATGAGTAGAAGGCGTCGTCATCCCAGGCTTAGGCAGGTCAATGCCTCAATTCCTGGTGCGTGCAGTACTGATCCAAGACTTTCATCTTATTTCCCTTTTCATTTCTACGTTTGTGTGTTTGTGTCTGATGGTAATTGGTCTTGAAATTACTAGCATTTTTTTGAAAGTAGAGAATTGTCATTGTATATTAATTTATAAAGGGAAAGAGTTAGGCCTAGGCCAAAAGGTAAAAAAACAACTGTACACACATCAAGTGCGCGAAAAAACTACAAACATGGGACAATATTTGCCAAACGCTTTGCACCTGCTATGCATGAAATTACTAGCATTTAGAGGTCGAATTTATAGGCTAATGGTTTGTAATGTTGTTCAGAATTTCAGACTCAACATATATAGGCTACATAGCCATTATGTTTGCAATGTCAATGTCAGTACACTAGATTTTCATTGTGACAAGTTAGAGTTAGATGTTTGGTTCAGAAATCGTGTTTATCAGGTAGTGCAATTGTGAGAATCGTCACTACTTGTCTTAACAACATTTGATTCATAGTAAGTCTGTTCTTTTTGTAGTGTATACTCCAGGCACAGGAAGCTGAACATCTAGAATATTCTGTTCTTTTCTGTATAGCTGACTTGAAAGTTCTAAATAACCATAGAAATAATCATTCATTTCTATGTCCAGTTCAATTATGATATATTCTGTGCACATAACTTGGTATTCTGAACCCAAAACCCTTTACATCACCCTTTGTGAAATGAAGATTTATATGAATTATTTAAGAACCCACAAACAGGGGAATGCTAAGACCATAAACACAGTTGCAAACTCGAATTGCTTTCTTTGGACTTTACTTGAACTTTGTACAACCAGCAACTATCTATATCATACTTTTGTTGTAATGTTGATCTATATTTTTTCATTTAGAACCCCGCACAGAGCGGGAGCTCTCTGCTCTGGGTACGCCTTTTTTTTTTAATCCTTCCAGCAACCAAGCTGTAGCATTCCTGCAATTGGGTAAGATTAGCAAAGCACTTGATGATGTTTAGACAACTGTCAAGCTAGAGCCACAATGGAAGAAGGTATATATCTTATCAAAGTGCTCTCTGATTTACAATTTATTATTTAAAACTCCGTACCGACCTCCCCATCTCGCTCTCCGGGCGACATGGGGGCGTCCCGCCTCTCCTCCTCCTCCCAAGTTGACAATTATAATAGGCGCCAAACTATCAATCGCTATATCTGCATAATAGCGTCTGACCGTCGATCGTTATAAGTAGTCGGTCGCTATAAATTTATACCGACGCTACTATCAATGACCTATGGGATGAGTCGATATAGATCTATAACGACCGGACGTAAGTCGCGAAAGCAGCTTATAACGAGAGTATAAGGAGACACTAAAGATGTGTTGTGGTATAGTGAATCTCTTATAATTGGCTCCATGGAGGTCCCAATTGAAGAGATCAAAAAGCGATTATCATTGACAACTAGGCTCAATCAAGTACCCAAAATCTCGCATGATTAGAGGGATTTGAGAATATTTTTCCTTTTTTAATTAATTATTTGATTTAAAACATCTAAAACAATCAATGGCTCGGATTTATTTAAGATATTACCTCCTAGGAAGTAAGGAGGGTGCCGTAGCATTGCCCGATATACAAATATTGTTCTTAGAAATAAAATTGCCAACATACATATATCATCCTGAGAAAAGAAAATAAAAAGTGGTTTCTCCTCAATGGCTCACCGAATATCGTGTTCTATTTAGCTCCAATTATTCAATGTGTGTAATAAATATAGAACTTCTGCGAGTGAAATTGTTCTACTTTAGGGCCCGTTCGGTTAGGCATTCCCGGCCTGTGAACGGCCAGGAACATTTCCAGCCCAGTACAAAGTATGGAATGGTTCCAGGCCCGGAACAGTTCCAGGCCATTCCGGGCTGGAAATGAACGGGCCCTTAGGCTGCGTTTGGTTGTCTGGGAATGGTCACTGAGAAGCATTCCTACTTGGAATTCTTGTGTAATTTATATTGTCAAAATCTCACCGGGAACTATTCCTACCATAAATAGCCTTAACCGAACAAGCCCGTATTGTTTTGTTTGAGAACAATCATCGACCATTTCGACTGAAGCAGTGAAGCACAATAGTCGAGAAATACTACATGACGACGACATATGTTGAACATGGCAGGTGCGTGCAGTGCACCCATGCAAATTATTTTATTCTCACACGCCATAAGCGTACAACTGCGAGCAAGTTAATCCTGCCGAGCGTTAGGGTACTGAAACAATGCGGAAGAAGCGCTTGAGCCTCTCGACCTCCGCGCGAACTATGAAGGTGAGCTTCGCCACCACGTCCGCTGGCAGGGCGTTGCCGAAGAGCGCAGAGTCAGTGATCTGCAGGCCGGGGTTGGGGCTGCTGTACGCGGCGAAGGCGATGGCCGTCGAATTGCCGATGTTGTACTGGAAGTGCAGCAACCCCTGCGGGAACACGAAGAGGTCGCCCTTGTTTAGGGTCTTGACGTAGGGTATATTGGTATCGGCGCTGATGAAGCCAGCGGAAAGTTTTCCCTCGACGACGAAGAGGAGCTCTGAGGCTTCCGGGTGGGTGTGCAAGGGCACGACCCCACCAGGCAGGAAATCGACACGCGTGGCAGCGAGGCCGAGGCCATTCAGACCAGGGTACTGTTTAACGGTGGCGGAGGAGAAGCCGATATTGAAGGGGACGATGACCGGGCCGGGCTTGGACAGGGCATCGGAGTAGAAGTCATTGGAGTCGACGAGGGCCTTGGGCTTGCACGGGTAGCCGGACGGCGTGTCGGAGAGGGGCAGGTCGGCGACGCAGAAGTCCTGGGTCAGAGCGAGGGAGGAGAAGGGCAGGATCAGGGAGAGCAAGGGCACTAGCACGAGGTGGACCACGGCGGTCTTGGGCGCCATGGTTACCTTTGCCGGGCTAGCTTGCTGCGCACTGCGCCCTTGTAGGTCGTGTCGAGTTCAGAGCTTGTTGTGTCTGGATATGCATTCTTCAGGCCTTTTTATACAGGCGAGTTTCATGTATAGTACCACGTATGTCCTCATAAGCATTAAAGGTATACCTATAGTGAGTTTGACATATCACGAGTCGCATTTGTTCATGCACGTACATGCATGCAGTTAACAGCCTGCCACGGTTGAATGATGCGTGACTGCAGGGTCAGCACAGGGCGTCGAAAAGTATGCATACCAGACGTCTTCCCATAATAGCTAGCCAACGTACTACTAGTAGGGCTATGCAAAACGCAAAGTCAAATACGCGAGACGCGACGCTAGCACCCGTGCCCCACCGTGCCCTCGCCCCCACCGGACTGGAGAAGAAGAAGAAGAAGAAGAAGAAGAAGAAGAAGAAGAAGAAGAAGAAGAAGAAGGCTGCTAGGGTTCTAGCGAGGAGCTCGTCGGCGTCCGAGAGGAGGAGCTCGCCGGTGTCAAGGAGACCACCATCTCTGGTGGCCTTAGAAGAAGTTTGATTGGGGGCGGCGGCCTTGACAAGACGGTGGTGGCGGGTTGAGGTGCGGCGAGCAAGGCGGAGGGGGCAACTAGATGGACAAGTCCAGCGGTGGGGGCGTTGCGGCGGAGCTCACCGGCACCCTACCCTGGGATTAGGATGGGCGGGGTCGAGGGTGGGGGGGGGGACGAGGATGAGGTTTGCCACCGGCACGCCATCCTGTAGTTAGGAGAGGGAGGGGTCAAGGAGGCCAGGGCGGATGGTGGGCGGGGCGACAAGACGGCAGGAGCTGCTGGCCGCTGGTGGTGGAGGGCGGCGGAGGAAGGGCGCGGTGAGGAAGAAGAAGACCATGGGGGAGGAAGGATCGCTGGGGAGGAGGGTCGCACGCTCCCTCACTGCGTGACATGTCGCGCTATATATCTTGGTCCTATGCGAAAGTATGTCCCTGCAAATTTATTAGTAGCCTAACATTGTAGATGTCCTTCAATTTGTGATCTAGGAGCCGGAATTTTACATTTAAATTATTTAGATAATAACTATTTTTTAGTTTGGAATCTATATAAAATATTTATTTATTTTTTGATAAAATATAAATATTTAAATTATTTTAATTTAATCTACAGAATACAGACTTCACCTAGATCTCTATACTATAGCTATGCCAAACACCATAAACCAGTTTTCCTAATCATGACAGTAATATGTCTATTATATCAAGATTTTTTTTCGAACGTAGAGATTATTTGTCTGACCAGCAGCATAGAAAAAAATTAATTTATTTTTCTTGATGTACCATGCTCATTTTGATTTTGTGGCAGTATAGAGCAACTAAAATCTATCCGGTCGAATGGAGAAATGGAACAAACATATGTGTCATATACAACTATTTTCTTCCATCTCAAATATGCATAATCCGTTTTTGATACAATTAAGCCAGTTGATTTTTTCTCAAGAATACCAACATCTTCTAATGAAGGGGTGGAAAGACAATCAAATTAGGACATCACTGTTGCCATCTAAGTACACAGGAAGAGATGAAGTGCAGAGTAGCGCACCTGTTCCTCAATTAGTGCCGACGACCACGGTAGGGCGAGCACATGTGACCGCCGCCTCACTTGCGCCAAAAAAAAACATCATGCCAAAATAGCAGTGGCGCCACTAAAAAAAAAGCAAGAGTTGCACCTCTTCCCAATGAAACAAGCAGCACGGGCTTATTTTTTGGGCTGTACCGTTGGGCCAGGCTGGGTGGCGGTGAGAGTATCAAATGCAAGCCGAAGTGAGGACGTGTGATTCTCAGCCAACAGGGATCCTCCTATAGTCCTATAGTTGTTGGGGTCAAAGGAGGATTTCGTTCCCCATTATCTCTCGATGATGGATTCTTGTCAGATCAAGAGTTCCAACCAATACATTTGTGCAATGTGTTGTATAAAACCATCTCAATGTGTTAGCCAATGGATTGAAAATCTTTTTATAGACGGTATTATGGGACTATGGTAGAGTTGATAAGTTGTTTGTAGTCAAAATAAGCTAAAACATTATTTTCAGTTTATTTAAAAATTGAAAGTTTGACTTTTTAGTGACTATTTAAATGCCTCTAAAAATAACGGTGTTACACCGTGCGGTGTGTTTATGTGGTTGTGTTTTGTCAGATGTTCTTGCTTCACTTTATTGTTTGCTCAATGCCTTCTTTGCGGAGTGTTACACCATGTCTAGATATATAATAGAAAGTATGTATTAAAAAGCCAAAACAATTTTGGAAGGAATGGAGTACATTGTTTTGAGCCGGTAGTAGAAATTGATTTGTGACATGGGTGCTCGTATTTTCCTAGATTTATTCCAGAGTTTAATGGCGCTATTTTTTCAGTGGTAGACGACGTGCCCGTCGACAGCGAGAGCGCCTGTGGTGACTTCGTCAATCTCGAGATTTACCGGTCCAACTCAGTTCTTTAGAGTTGCTCATGAGGGTAGGGTTTGCGTGCGTGCGTTTATAGAGGTGAGTGTGCGCTCGTGTATGTGAGCGTCTGTCTGTAAGTAGGTCTCGTAAAAAAAAGTATCTTCTTCAATTGTTTGCTTCTTTGATTTTGATGCTTGCTTCTTCAGTCAAACTCTGGATTAGTCTAAGGCTTTATTCGATACTTTTCTCGTTGAAGACCAAATTCTGGATTAAAGCTTATTTGATACTCCAGTACTTTTCTCGTTTGAGACTTCGTGTGATTTTCATTTGATCCACTGCTACCACGTGAAATATGCTCTGGTGCGAAATCTAGAGAACAAAGAAACATTTTTTTTAATAAGGTCACTACCACAGAGACGAACAGTTTAGGGCGTCGCCTCGCGACATTTTTTTACTAAGGTCACTACTACACAGAGAATTTTAGGATATAGTCCCTATAGAGACGAACAATTTTGTATGTTACCTCTAAAAATGGCAAGATGGAGTAAGGCACTGATAATCATTTATACAGGCGTGTGTTCTAAGACGGTCGTCTTAGGATTGTCCGCCACTATAAATCGATTAATAGAGGTGCTTAATAAGGATCTGCTCATAGAAATTGATTACCAGAGAGGCAGGCAACTTAATGGACCCACCTTTAAAAATAGTTACATCAAAAAATAATTCATAACTTTTTTCATATGAACTCGGATGAAGACAAACTTTGAATCAAAATTATTGCTCTCGACGTGATCTACAACTTTGTAATTGAGAAGTTTTTTATTTAAATAGTTTAGTGTCCAATTTCATTTCTTGAATTTTGAAATTTAGAATTTAAAATTTCAAACAACCTCAGATGTTGACATGGTATATACTAAAGTTATAGTTCACAAAACAATCTACAACTTTATAGTTGAAAAGTTTTCTATTCGAAATTTTTTAGATTCCTAAACATGTGTTTGGTTTTCTTAGATTTTGAAATCCAAAATTAAGAATTTCCAAACGACCTTAAATGTTCACATGGTTAATACTAAAGTTGTCGCAGTGTTCGACCTGGTCTACAAGTTTGTTGCTGATAAGTCTTCGATTTGATGTTATTTAGAGTCCGAAATAGTTGTTTTTAAATTCATATACTTTTGGATTAAGATTTTTTAAAATTTCAAACAATCTCGGATGGAGGATTTGATCTAGACACTCAATTTGAATCTAACGGGTAAAAAAATCGTGTGGTGATGATGAGCCTCAAACACCCTATTGTCCACTAGCTAGACAACTTCAAACTAAATTCAGTGGCCGTTTATGACCGTTATCTTTATTATATTCTCGCACCACCTGTGTTACAATTGACTAGCGGTGCACCACAACTTGGCGTTAAAATGACAGGTGCACGTGCCTTGCGCGCAAATTATTCTGACACCACAACCACGACCGATTCAACCTCATCTGACACGTCAAGTCCACAAACCACGACGGCACGACCAATTCAAGTTTCATCTAACCCTGCAGCCCAAGAGTTGAAAGTTGAAACGAATGGCTTAGCCGCTCCCGCCGAAGAGTGCCTTGAGCTTCCTGACCTCCAGTTCGTCCAGCACGGTGACCTTGCTCACGACGTCCGACGGCAGGTTGTTGGCGAAGAGCGCGAAGTCCAGGATCATCAGCCCGGGGTTGGCGCTGCTGTAGGAAGAGAGAGCCACCGCCGTGTCGTTGCCCAGGTTGTGCTGGAAGTGCAGCAGGCCCTGCGGGAACACCATGAGGTCGCCCTTGTACAGCGTCTTGACGTACACCTGGTTGGTCAGGGAGCTGATGAAGCCGGCGGAGATGGCGCCCTCGATGACGAAGAGGAGCTCGGTGCCGCCCGGGTGCGAGTGCAGAGGCACGACGCCGCCCGGGGCGAAGTCCACGCGCGCCGCGGAGATGCCCAGCCCGTTCACGCCGGGGAACCGGGTGACGAAGGCCGACGACAGGCCGATGTTGAAGGGGTTGATGGTCGGGCCCGTGGTGTTGAGGCCGCGGTAGCAGAAGTCGTCGGCTGTGACGCCGGTCTGGGGCTTGCACGGATACCCGGCCGGGGTATCGCCGCGGGCCAGGTCGGCGATGCAGAAGTCCTGGTTCAGGGCGAGGGAGGAGAACGGAAGCAGGGAAATCATCAAGGGCGCGACAAGGACTAGGAGCAGGAGCACGGCCTTGGCCATGGTTACCGGCTTACCGGGCGAACGGCGAACTTGCTAAACGAGCCTACAGGTTGGAGCTAGGTCAAGACGTGTATTTGAATTCATGATTTTTACCGTGTCCGCTGTATAGGTATATATAGGGCAAGCCTGGTCTGGCGTGTACAGATGTCCTATAATTGCTAAATATAATGTTGCATTTCAAGTCACAGTCAGCGGACGCTCAAGCATACTCACCTCTACGAATGTGGTCATACACACACTTACATACATATACAGTCACTTCTATAAACATAACTATATAAATATAAACCTTATAAACGAAGTCGTACACACCTATTCTATCATGAAAAAT